TAAAATAAGCTACCCATCTCTCCTCCATCCCTCTATGGAGGGAGGTAAGGACTCTGGCAGAGATTCCTTCTGAGGAGATAGTAACAATCGTGACTCACTCCACGTATTCTAGAACCAGGTGCTTATTCTATGTCTTTCTGGAAGATACAGAAGTTTTATAAACTGTTAAGGGAATGGAAAACAGTGCATCTTAAAAGGGAAATGTAGAATTAACATACAACCCAGAAATTTCACTTCTAAGTTGTATTTTAAAAGAACAGGAGGTAGGGGAACTAGGAGTTGTAGCTCAAGCCCATAATCCCAGCCGTTAGGAGATTAAGGCAGGAGCAACACAAGTTTTAGGGCAGTTGAGTTACATACTGATTTCCAGAGTGGGCTGGCCTACATATTAAGACCCTGTCTCCAAACAAAATAAATACAAAAATGCAAACACATCAATGTATAGCCTAGAATTAAATTCAGGATATGTGTATAAAGCATATATGAAACATAGTTGAATTTTATGTTTTGACTGGAATATATCCCTAAGATATCTAGTTATGTATATGCACACATTCCATAATCAGAACAAAAATTCCTAAAGCCAAATAATTTCTGATCCCAAGAATTTTAACTATGATATACTCATGCTGTATTTGCAAATAAACAGAAATCAAGATGACTTGGGATTCTTTGATGACAATATTGCCCAGATGTCTTTTAAGGAAAGGGCTTCACGCCAGCTTTCTGCAGCTACCAAACTGCCACCTATCTATGGAAGGAGAACAAAATCCTCTCAGACACATACAGCATCAAGAATGATCTATTACACTGGGCTGTGGTGGCACAAGTCTTTAATCCCAGCACTCGGGAGGCAGAGGCAGGTGGATCTCTGTGAGTTCCAGACCAGCCTGGTCTACAAGAGCTAGTTCTAGGACAGTCTCCAAAGCCACAGAGAAACCCTGTCTCGAAAAACCAAAAAAACAAAACAAAACAAAAAAACCCACAATGATTTATTTCATGCACTGGGAGTTAGCTCTGTCGGTAAAATGTTTGCCTTGCAAGCATGAGGATCTTAGTTCAATCCCCACAACCCACACAAAACCCTAAACAAAGGGAGCATGCACGTAACCCAGCACTGTGCATGTGGAGCCAGGAGGACCCCTAGATCTAACTAGCCATTCTAGCCCAATTGATAAGCTCAGGGCCAATGAAATGCCCTGTCGTTAAAGAGATGGAAAGTGTCTTAGGATGACACTGACATTAGTGACTGGCCTGCACAAAAATATACATGGACATGTGTATCTGCATATACAAGCTCACATTTTTTTTTTTAAAAATGACCTACTTCCCCAAATGCATCTTCTTTTGAATGTGGCCAAAATATGCACTCTATGAAAAGAAAAGTAAGGCTGCACAGAATCCCCAGAGTCAGAGCTCCAGCACAGGAGTTCTTATTGAGAACTGAGCACAAGGCAAAAGAACAGCTGGTGCAGGTTGAAGCTTCTGTGACAGAGACATCGGGGCCACCTGATGTGCTTAAGATTCTTTAGGGGCATGTGAAACACTGAGGAGAGCTTGGAGTTGAGCTAGTAAATGGCACGGAAGGTAAACAGACAGTTGTGACATCATGAAAAATCAGTGTGTGCAGGAAAAGGAAAGCAATGACAGGACTGAAGAGCTGGAGAGCACAGCTGCAAACAGCAGGTGCTTAGTCATCAGAATCAAACTGCTAAAGGCTGAGTTAATCAGAGCTGTGCTATGGGTTGGGATGTGTGGCAGAAAAAAATTAGTCTCTCTGAGGGGCAGGAATGGGGGAAAGAAAGACATTGTGACCATGCCAGTAGTTAACACCTGCAACTGGATAGTGATGTGCTAGCAGTACTTGGAGAATAAGAAGACAAGTACCAGATAAATCAATTAAAAACACAAGTTGGCTCAAGTTTCGTGGAAGACACAGTGAAGATGTTTCAGGAAATTAAAAACAGAACCACTTTGTGGTCCAACAAGCCTGCTGCTACTGGTTGTGCATCCAAACTCAAAGCCAGTCCTGGTGTGTCAGGCCTGTGATCCCAGCTACTATAGAGACTGAGGTAGGATGATCATAAATTAAAAGACTGTCTGGGCTACAAAGGAAGATCAAGGCTGCCCTGGTGACCCGGTTATAGTATGAAAAGCTCCTGGAAACCTGTTACTGTTTGAGTGTGAAATGCTCCCCCATGGGTTCATATGTTGGAACCTTTCAAAAGTAGAGTCTTGCTGGAGGAAGAGGTTCACTGCAGGGTGGACCTTGATGCTCTCTTCTTTCCTAGGTGCTTTGTACCCAGCCACTCCATACTTCTGCTGCCTTGACCATGGAGTATTCCTCACCATGATGGACCATATCCCTGCATGGTGTCCATGCTCTCATAAAACATTTACAAGTTTGTTGTTGTTATTGCATACATTTTACCAAATTTTCACTGTAAACTATGGAAAAGCCAAAGCTGAGAAATAAAAAATAATACATGAAATAAAATACCAAACTTAGAATTTGATTCTTTCTAGGAATGACTTCAATGATAAATCATGATAGCACTATTTGAACTGACCCCATAAAGTTCATTTGTACTTTTCTGATGCCAAACTCTGTACTGGATTGTGCTTATTTTACACGTTTTCAGTTTTATATTACGTACATGTTTTTAAAAGTCAAACAGTTTCACAGTTAGGGGAGAAAGAAGCTTCTCAACAACCCTCAAGTTGCAAATCTAGTCTTTACAGCTCTCATGATTTTTTCATTTCTATAAATGAACTACATGCATTCTAGGAATTTGTTTAGCTGTGCCTTCTTTGTCTTACTCATGAAAGATATTACTAGGAAGAATCAAATTCTAACTTTAGTACTTTTATTTCTTATATTTCTATTCCTCAGCTTTGGTTTTTCCCCATAGTTTATGGTGAAATTTTGGTAAAATGTATATGATAAAAACAATAAAATTGTAAATATTTTATCCTTGATACCAGTGAAAACCTGAAGACTTAGTGCAGTCTGCTATCCATATTTTTTTCAAATATCTGGATGTGGCTCTGATGTAGATTAAAGAAATAATTGGATGGTTAGTTAAAATAACTATCCAAATACCTGTTGTCAAGTAGGCACAGGTTTAAACAGAAAACATTGGAACTCATTGGTGTCTCCTAATTTTTCTTTGAGGGGAATGAAAAAACAGTGTAGCCCATCTGTTCATAAACGTTTTTGCCTAGCCAGGGATTGTCTTTGTAGGTCAGTCAATTGCATTCAGTGGTGCAGCATTCAGCAGAAACAATGGCTCTTGAGCTAGGCAGTTATCTATGCAAATAGCAGTAAATGGATGTAGGCACTGGGTGATGCTTTTTCTTAGCTATTTATTATGGAGGGTAATATAAATGCATCATTGGTACTAATCCTGAATTGTATTGCCACAGGTTGCATTGCAAGATGGTTTGTGAGTGTGTTTACCTTTCTGCTTTCTCTCTCTGCAGAAACTTACAGAAAGAACAGTTTCTGTATGGTCGCTAATTAACAGCAATAAAGACAAATTCAAAAACCCCTTCTATACAAAAGAAATCAATCGGGTTTTATATCCAGTTGCTAGTATGCGACACTTGGAGCTGTGGGTGAATTACTACATTCGATGGAATCCCAGAATCAAGCAACAAGTAAGTGAAAAGACAGCCTTCCTTGATTGAATGGCTCCACCCTAGCTAGTATGATGCTATTTGTTATGCTGGTAGCTTGTTCATATTCTGAGGACAAACATAATAAAGAAAACACTTGCTTTTAAACTAGTGCTAATTTAAAATTGTTGTGAATTACTAAACTATGAATTTTGAAGTTAAACTTACAGTTCACTGCCCAAATGAATGCTATATTTTTTAACCATAATGTAAGCTATTTTAAAACTCTAGAAAGTTTCTGTTTTCCTAGCTAAGGGTTTCCTTTAATCACTTGAAAGGCTTACACATCATCAGAAAGCTCTGTACATAATTCCCTGACATTGTGTGCACTCTTGTGTTTCTAGCACTTAGGAGGTGAAAGGAAGGATAACCAGAAGTTCAAAGCCAACTTCTGCTATATAGTGAAATTTGAGGCAAGCCTGGGCTACATGAGACCCTGTCTCAAAAAGTTCTCTGCATTGACTAGACTTAAGCGGTCATTTAAATGTGAGGGAGAATTTTTCTACCCTCCAGCTGAGATGGAAATATGAAGTGAGCTGGCATCAGCTTGTTTCTTACTACACATACCTAAAATAAAGATACCAATATACCAATGGTTAGTAAATTTAGCTAGTAGCTACTAATCAGTCAACATGAAAGCAGGTTCCTGAAGTGCAAAACTGCACAGATAGAGACTTTCCCATTCTCACAACTTCACCGTAAACCAGAAGAAAAAGCAACCTATTTATAAGGCTCAGAAGAAAAGTGCTTCTATAAGGCTCAGAAGACAAGTGCTTCCACTCATGGCTTTGTTCTGGGTCTTAGTGTTTGTAGTGGCTCCTGGTGGAGTTTTACTCATTTTCCTGTGGTGTAAGGTATTGACTATCTGCATGATTCAGCCTTGCAAGAACCTTAGATGTAATCCCATCAGTAGTAGTTTGGGGTGGCAAGTCAGGGAGCCAGATTTCACAGGCTTCTGCACACATGCCCTTACTCTGGTCAAGCCTGTGCCTCATACTCACTGGGGAATTGCTCATTTCAACCTGGTTCCTTCACTGGGAAGTCTCTGCTGCTTGAGTGAAATACTTTTGTAATGTGGCCCTGTTTGAAGTGTGTGTGTGTTTTTTGTAAAGTGGCAGGTGCCAGAGCTTAAGTACATTTACCTATTTAGTTTGGAATTTGAGAAGTACTTTGAGGGAATTTACTGAACAGTCATTCCAGCATTTAGGATATCAGGTAAAAAGTAAACAGAATCTTTGCTAATGTCTATTGCAGAACACATATTTCTTTTGCAATTAAATATACAAGATGGGCATGGTAGCTCACATCTGTCATCCCAGTAGTCTGAAGGCAGAGGCAGGGAGAGTCTGTCAGTTTTGCTCCAGCTTGTTCTACATAGTAAGTTCAGGCCAGCCAGGACTAAAAGT